AGCGAGTTAAGGCGCTCGCACAGCTCTACTGCCTGCATGAGAATATAAGAGAGAAAGAAACATGAAATTTGAATTTTCTGACTTATTTACTCTCATGTGTTATCATGACAACTATGCATGCATTGACATGCATATGCAGAGCTGTGCGAGCGTCTTTACAGTGTACACAGTTTTGAAAAATGTAGTTTTGAGAAAAACTCATTTGAAATTTCAGGATGCATTTACTATATATAACATATTTAAAATAGTGACTTAACAATTTTTTCACTTTTACTTTAATATTCCAGCATATTTACGCTTTATATTTTGTATTGTAATTAAACTGATTGGTACCCCCAAAAATTATCAACAAACTATAATATGTTTAAAACTTTAAATTATCATGTAAAAAGTAGTTTAATAAATTTTTGTCGACAAAATAGTATTTACATCCCAATGGGAAAAAAACCATTGGTGCATTAATGGCCCAATAATGGGAGCCACCATTCCATTATTGTCCCATTATTGGCACCCAATAATGGACCACTAATGGTAAAATCGTGGGATGTCCACGCCGATGCCAATAATTGGCAAACCATTATTGGCACATTATCGGCTGCCATTAAAAAACCAATAATAAAAAAAAAATTTTTATTAAATTTTATTAAATAATAAATTTATTTATTTAATAATTATTTTATTTATTATTATTATTTATATTTATTAAAAATATTAATTTTTTTAATTAATTATTTTATAGAAATGGTTATTATTTTCTATCACATCGAAATGTGAATAACCCTTTCGTTCAGAGTCTAAAAATTATTTACCTCACATCCATCAGTGCAAAAATAGGAGAGGACGGGCAGAATAAAATTCTACAAATATTCGTGAGAATGCTGCCTCCTTATATACTTTTCAAGTTTCATGTTAGTTGCGAGAGAATTTGAAACAACACCTCCTACGGAGCGTTGAGCGAACTACATACTTACTACATGATAATTTCTGCAGCGTTGGTAAGTAATTGTATGTAGTTCGCTCAACGCTCCGTAGAAGATGTTGTTTCAAACTCTCTCGCAACTAACATGAAACTTGAAAAGTATATAAGGAGGCAGCATTCTCACGAATATTTGTGGAATTTTATTCTGCCCGTCCTCTCCTATTTTTGCACTGATGGATGTGAGGTAAATAATTTTTAGACTCTGACTCTGAACGAAAGGGTTATTCACATTTCGATGTTATAGAAAATAATAACCATTTCTATAAAATAATTAATATTTTTAATAATAATAAATAAAAATAATAATAATTATTATTATTATTAAATAAACAAATTTATTATTTAATAAAATTTAATAAAAAAAATTTTTTTTTATTATTGGTTTTTTAATGGCAGCCAATAATGTGCCAATAATAGTTGCCAATTATTGGCATCGGCGTGGACATCCCACGATTTTACCATTAGTGGTCCATTATTGGGTGCCAATAATAAACCTAGAGAAAACCAATGGCTTCCAATATTGGGCCATTAATGCAGCAATGGTAGACTAATGGCTATTTCCCATTGGGATATCATTCTTGGATAGTCTATGTACCGTTTAACCCTTTGAGGGGCACATTATTCATATGAACGGATTTTCTTTACAACTCATGTCTTAATATTTTTGGGGTCGCTGATTTCGAATTTGAAGTTAGTTTTTAAAAATTCAAAATGGCGGATCCAATATGGCGGACATTTTTTTTTTAATTAATCGGATTTGCTTGAAAATATTTATTTGGGGGTTTTTGGGGTCGCTGATTACGAATCTGATGTTAGTTTTTAAAAATTCAAAATGGCGGATCCAATATGGCGGACATTTTTTTTTTAATTAATTGGATTTGCTTGAATATATTCATTTGGGGTTTTTTGGGGTCGCTGATTACGAATCTGATGTTAGTTTTTAAAAATTCAAAATGGCGTATCCAATATGGCGGACAATTTTTTTTAATTAATCGGATTCATCAGAAAATGTTTACTCGGGGGTTTTTGGGGTCACTGATTACGAATCTAATGTTAGTTCTTAAAAATTTAAAATGGCGAATCTAACATGGCGGTCAATTTTGTTTTAAATTAATTGGATTTACTTCAAAATTGTTATTTGTGAATTTTCAAAGTCACTGATTTATAAATTTCTCCGCTAATTATTAACCAACAATCTAAATTTAAAAATAAACTAAACATTGGTAATCAGGGACTACAACAACCTTCGAGTAACAAGTTTCGTGACAATCAAATAAATTTTTACATTTGTCATCTGACATATTGGATCCGCCATTTTGAATTTTTAAAAATTAACATCAGATTCGTAATCAGCGATCCCAAAAACCCCCGAGTAAACATTTTCAAGCAAATCCGATTAATTAAAAAAAATGTCAGCCATATTGGATCCGCCATTTTGAATTTTTAAAAACTAACATCAGATTCGTAATCAGAGACCCCAAAAACCCCCGATTAACAATTTTTAGTCGATTTTAAAATGTTTAAAAAATTCGTGATTTTTAACAATAATTTATGAAGTTTTTTAAACAATAGGAATTTTTTAACATGTTACATATTTTTAAAGCCCTATTCTTCCTGAAGAGAACGCACTAAATTTGACTGAAAAATATTAATTTTCGTCAAAGATATTGAGGTTTTTAAAGGTGGGACGTATACGTCCCACCGCCCCTCAAAGGGTTAATACAATAAAATGAAATAGCGAGTTGTACTGACATCTGGGTCCGATATGTACTAAATTGTACTGATATGTAAAATCTGTAGTAATAGGTAAGAATATTGGCTCGAAATTCAAATATTATAAATGATAACCTTTATAAATGCATTAAATATTTATATTAATATTTAATGTAAATATTTTGTCACGTAATTCAATTTAACTGTTTGAAAATCAATAACAATAATATTAAAATTTTTTATTTTTTTAAATAAAGTCTTACATTTTCTTGAAATCCTTGAAATACGGATTTCAATGTGATTGTACAGCCAATCACATTTGCGTTAGAAATGTTTGTTGCCTCTGAACAGTGTGTAAACGCCTTTTTTCCACTAATCGGGGCATTTCTAGACTAAAAACAGTCCCTTGGCAAAGGTGAATTCTAAAATTGTTCATATAAACTGTTTAGATTTCTACCAGAATCTGATTCGTCTTATCTAGTCAGAATGTTCTAGACAGTACCCTTACAATGCCGTACTTTAAATAGGGACAAGTGGGGCAATTTCTACACGGACTGTTAAAAATAGTTATTTTCGATATTTCTGTATAGTAAAAATATTCATTTTTTGTTAGTTGAAAAATAAATTAGAATTACTATTTTATAGTAAAAACAACTGTTGGAAGGTGTTATTTTTGTGATTTATGCAGTTAAACAACCATTTCTTAACCCGGCGAGTATGAGGTTGGGCATGTCATGCCCCACCCTAGTAGAAATTTGTCAAATTACAATTACAATTTTTGAAGATTTAATTAATAAATAATATTAGAAACTAAATTATTTATTGTAACGAGAAAATTCAAATATCTTTGTGAATCCTTTTTTAAATTATCCCGCCATTAGTGACGCCAACCAATGAGATCACTTGAAGCTTAAAAGGACAAATTCAGTCCGTTTTTTTTAATGTTTCGGTAGACATTTTTAAAGTCCTTTAACAATAGTTTCAAATGTAGGTTATGTCAACAAACCATTGTTAACAGTCTAGAAGTGAAATTAAAAAAATGTTAACAAAATTTTCAACGAAATTCCCGTTAAATTTTAAACTTATATTGCAACCCCTGCTTTAACAATAGACCCGAAAGCCTATTGTTGTATGGGATTATAATTTTATGGCTTAAAAAGTTTACAATTTAAATAATTCACTTTTCAAAACAAAAAAAATTAAATCTGTAATGTTTTATAATTACAAATATCTAAAATTCATTATCAAAAAATTGTAATTAAAAAAGTTATAAACTATCTCGCAAACTCTAATTGTTACGTAAAAACGGATATTATTTTTGAATTTAGGTTCTTATGAATATTTAGCATACATAATAATTACTTGTAAAGAATCTGAGTTCATGAAAAACAAATATAATGTTGAAATATAAATAAAAATTATTTTTAACATTAACAAAGAAATATTCGTCCTTCAACTTAATGACGGTCAAGCCATAAACATCACCTATAGCGACCCTTTTGCAGGTAATTTTTCCCAGTACAATTTCAGTGCTGAAACGCAGCAAATTTTTACTGAAATAGCACTGAGCTCTCAGTACTAAATCCCCAGTACAATTTCAGTCCATTCTTCCGGCAGGGTTTATCTAAATTTTCCTGTGTTGTCACAGGTAACTCAATTTCAAATTGGATATTTAGATCTTGAGTCTCCAAGTTTTGACTTCTACAAAATCTTTCAACTGTTGCTTGTAGATTATTAAGCACGAGTTTTAATTCTTTTACTTCATGCATAACATTTCCAAGCTGGTATTCTTGATTTTGAACTATTTCGTAAATTGTTTGAATGAGAGGATTGTCTAGTACAATCTGCTTTAGAGCGAATGGATCGAGAACTACTAATTCATCTTGAATTATATCCCTGGATTTGTGCACAAATTCTGAAATTCAAAAATACTTTTCTTAAGAAAATTATATTTACAATTAGTTAATAAAAATATTACTAAAAAACCAATAAAATTAAATACGTTTCTATAATTATCAAGCCTAATGCATATTGCACGTACCAGCTGGTTTACCATTTTGAGAATGAATTGGGTTTGTCATTGCAGACGATGTTGATATTTTTTCCTCTTCCACTGAAATAGAATTTGAAATAGAGCTCTTTTCTGAAATAAAAATCATTAATTAATTAAAATATATGATAAATTAAAGATATTAATAGTCAGTCATTTTTAAAATGTATTGTATTTTTTCAATTCCTTAAATCTTATGTAGTATTTAAAAATATTTTTCAATAATAATAATAAAATTTTGCTTTTACCTGCAATGTCGGCTGCCGACAGAGGATCAAATGGTTTTAAATTTTCCAGAGATGTTCCTAAATTCGGCAAGGATATTTTTGAATTTACTGATAATATTTTTGACTTTTTCGACGATACTTTTGCGTTTGCTGAGAATTCTTCTGAAGTGCCTGTCAAACCACTTTTTGAATTTTTTTTGACTTTTTCTTTTTGTTTTTAACTTTAAACTTTTTTGTAACTTTTTTTTGGTTTGTAGACGAGCTATCTGACGAAGACGATGAGACATTGTTTTCAGATCCTTCTGAAGATTTCGAGTCTTCCATTTCAAATTCCTTATTTAAATTGGGCACTTCAAAAATGGCTTTTAAATCTGCTTTTTTTAATTTTTCCTCGTATTCTAAACAATACATATTTTTGATCCTTTTTAACCTTTCTTCTGGTTCTTCAGTTGCATCAGTAGTAAAGCCATATTTTTTGCGTTTCATGTCTGCCAAAACTAATTCAGCCTTCTCATAAGTTTCTAGAATAATTAAGAATAGTTTAATTATTTTAAGTGGTTTTACTTAAATTTTACTGGTTTAGAACAATTAAAATTATTACTTTGTAAATAGGAAGCAAAATTAAAGTAAAAAACACAGGGTGGTCACAAAGTTTCAGTTTATCAATTTCCCTGACAATTTAAAGACATTAAAATTATTTTTCCTGACAAAATAAAATAAATAATTTATAAAAATTGCAATTATAACCCTTTCTGAATTCAATTATTTTTTACAATTTTCAACTAAACTTCATCTCTGAATCAATTAATTTAAATAATTTTCCAAAAGTTATTAAGAATTCAATTATTTAAATACAAAAACTCAATTTTTTATAATAATTGTAACTCTCCATAGTTTTTTTAAGTTATTTTTAAATAATTTTTGAAAGATAATAGTTTTCCAATTTTAAAAAATTTCCAAACTATTAAAATTTGGTAAAATCTTTTAAAAATAATTGAATTTGTGAAAAATATAAATAAAAGTGATCAAGTTATTAAAGAATTTTAATTATAACAGGACCATGATTTCTCAACAATTTTAATAAGTCCAAAAATTAAATTTTCATACATTTTTATTGACATTGTTCTAAGATAATTGAATCTTAAAAAAATAAAATTAAACAATTCTAATAATTAGTTTTTAAAAATATTTCAATGGAATTTTTCGAAAATAATTGAATTTCTTAAAAGAATTTTCATATAATTTAAAAAAAACTAATTAATTTTTTGAAGAATTTTAATTACAAATTTGGAATATAATTGTTTTCTCCAAAATGTTAAAAGTAATTCTAAAATGTTATTATTTTTGTATCTATTTGAATTTTTGGAAATATGTAATTGAAAATACTGAAAATATTGAATTTTAAAAAATTAGAAACTAATTTTCATTAATTTTTTATTTTTTAAAATTACATTTAAAGATTTTTTATCAAAATTTTTGATATTTTAATTATTTTCAAAATTTGCAATTAAAATTCTTCAACAATTGCTTTTAAACATTGTAAATAAATAGTTAAAATAAATTAATTATTTTCAATTGAATTTTACAAAATTTCAAGTATTCAAAAAGATTTTTTATTATAGATTAATAATTAATTATAGATTATAGATTATTATAGATAAATTATTAATGTTAAAAAATTAAATAATTAATTAAACAAGATACCTGTTTCTCCTCTTATGTCTATAATAAAAGTTGGCCAATCCGCAAGTGGATCATGTTTATTTTTTACCAGTGAATGGATAACTTTGGCTTTTTTTCGTGTATGGGCCATGAGGAAATTTTACCGTTGTTGATCCATCTGCTGGAACATATTCAATCCGTTTCGACGGTACAATATCTAAGTCAGCATTTTCAGCACCATTTTTTTTATCCTCCGATAGAAATTCAATTATTTTAAAGTGATAAACCTTTCTCGTCGATTTAGCTGACATAACCTATAATATCGTCCAAATAGGAATTTCTTAGTACACAAAAAATAATCTTTACACTTGACAAAACGTATGATTATAGAAATTTTATTTGAAATATAAATTGAATTAAAAGTTTTTAAAACACTTAAGGTACACTCTCACCTCACTGCCTGCCTGCCTGCGCAGGCAGGCGCCATAAGAGTGAGAGAGAAAAAACATTTAATTTGAATTTTCTGACATATCTTTTATTTGATCCCTAGCACTCATCGATTCGAATGGCTCATTGCGTAAGCGGTGCGACTCTCGCCCAGCGAACCCGTGTTCGCTCCCCGTTACCCCCCCCCGAGATTTTTTCGTTGAAATTGCGTTCAGTATTTTAAGGTCTAATAATTCATGGTATATTTATAATAAATATAAAAATGTTTGTTTCAGGTGTTTTTAATAGTGCAGTCAGAAAGTGGATATTGTTTCAGTGCAGTGATAAATATTTAGTATTTTTAAATATAGATTTTTTATTTCAGTTAAAAATTAAATAGTACTATAGAAAATTATTTACAATAATTTATTATATCCGTTATATTTTAATGTAGTAATTAATTAAATATTAGCGGAAATATAATTATATAATTTATTATTGTGTGTAATTCTGTATATTTATTTATTTATTTACATATAATTATTTATATTTATTTATTTATTTCCTAAATAAAGTTTGTAACTTTTTTTGGTGTTAATTTGACATTTTTCATTAATTTTATGAAATAAATATGTTAACTATGTATAATATTAAACAAATTTTAGGAATATTCAAAAGAATTGATTCGTCTAGTCCTTCTTTAGGACTGTTGATCAGAATTTATCAAGTTAGGCTAGATAATAACTTGATGAAAAAAGCGTGACACTCCATTCGAGTTACACCGAAAAAAATCTCGATGGTATTATTAACTATAACTCTATAGTTAATCTTAATCTAGTAAAAGTAATAAGGATTCCTAATCATTATGGTTAGTATCGCTAGGTTGATTCAACAAATTCAAGCCTGGCAAAAACAACCCTGCAAATCCTAGTCAAATTGACTAGGATTTTAGTAATTTTGCCTATTTCCATAATGCGCACGCGTCTGTTTCTGTTCTGACAGTGTTTACCTCTATATCTGTCGCGTCATTTATCGTGATTTCGTAAAACGATTTTTTATCATTACTCGCGTCTATTTTTTGTACATAAAATGGAGTTCTTACATACATCAAAATTGCTGGTTTCTCGGAACCTCTGGAAATATAGATAGTCCATGTTTTAGAAAGTAAACTATTTAATTATATTAGTCAATTCTTTCAGACTTTTTTGGTTAGGTTTCAATATAAATCGTCGACATTTTTACGCACGTGGTGACAACATTTTTACTATTTTAATCGCGCAGTGTGTTTGAAAATTTACCTTTGCAATAATTTGTGTATTTAAATTTATTTTCATTTGAATGTCATAAATAATTAAAAATAAATAGTTTTTGACAAGTGTATAAAATTGTGTACTCGAAATGTATAAAACATCATCTGATTAAGTATTGTATTTTGACTCGAAAATCTAGTGTCTATTAAAAATTAAAATACCAAGTCGTGTTTAGTGTAGTGGTTATCGTTCCGGGTTTCAAAGTGCGTATTCGTTAGGTTCAGGTGTTCGCGTCCCCCCTGCGTCAAATATTTATTTCATAAGTTTAAATTAATTCTAAGGTATATAAATACAAACTCAAATATAAATATGTTCAAATACAATAATTATTTTTTTTCTTTTTTCTTTTAATTAGTTTTTCTCTTTTATTTGATAATAAGAATTTGATTAGCAATTTCAAATAATTATTATGATACACAGTGTAAATCTAATATTATTCTCCTAGTCAATTTGACTATTTTTTCCTGATTACATCGACTAATTTTCCTGGTCACTTTAACTATGCTTGAATCTTATTACTTTGACCAGGATTCTATAGTTGGCTCCTCTCGTAACTAGGAAACCTAGTCAATTCCTGGCATATGGGTCCTAGGCATTTTTTTCGGTGTATTAGCCATTTGGCTAGTAAAGTAACTAGACAATTTCAAGCGCGACTGGACAGTTTCTTTATAATAACTAGGACAAATTTCTACTAGGGCACACTTACTTAAACCTTATTAAATCCAAAAATTTTTACTTTATCGTTTTGGCACTTTTAGTAGCTGAAGTTATGGGTTTATAAGAGAAGATGGTGATGTGGTGATAGTGTTGTGCAAATTATGTCTTAAATTACTTGGACGTAAACTTCATTTTGGCATAACATTTTGCCTATATGTGCACAACATGGGAGACTTTTTTATTTTGCCTTTAAATGAAAGAAAATTGAATCGTAATATACTCTAAAAAGCAGTATTATACTTCTTATTCTATACTGTTTAAAGTCCTAACTTTATAAAAGTGAAAATTTCATTTTTTAAAAGTTTAAATATTTTATTGTTGTAATTAATCATATTATTTAATGTATATACGGGCTCAAAGGCCCTTTGAAGAGTAATATATATATATAAAAAAGAATACAATGATGACTTAATTCTAAACGTACTCCTACGCTCATACACAACACACCAATAACACATATGATAAATATTAAGACAAAGACTTGTTTTTGTCATCATAAATAAATAAATAATTAAGAAAATACATTTTAGTACATGCCTTTTTATAATATAATACCAGAAATCAACTTAATATAGCCATATGTAACATTTATAAGCAAATTTACAGTCTGGGTATGTCTTGCCCACCACATAGTCGGTGTAACAGTTTCGCGCCACATACTCGCCGGGTTAATAGTTGCAGAAAAATAAATAGATTTAATGTTTTCAGATATAGTAAAAAGTCATTGAGGATTAAATTTTCGTGAAAAAAGTCTTCGGGAAGTGGTATTCGAAATTTTTGACATTTGGGAAATGTACCCTTCATGGAAAGGTCTTTCGGAAAAATGAACGGGAATCAAATTAATTGTTTAAAATTGTTATTTTTAAGATTTATGCAGTTGAAATCAATTAATTAGTTTCGAAAGATACACACACTAATGGTAAGATCGCTGTCTTCCAAAACTCAAAGTTCTGTAATACTAGGTGTTGAAACGTGGAGTGTATAATCATCAATAAGAGTTAGAGCTACTATCTGATGAGTTTACCCATTTCAATTGAAAATTACCCAGAATTAAGTTTGAAGCCATAATCAGCCAATCCAGTTTCTCTTTATGGAGTGAAATTGTACACAAATTATAACTGCAATCTAACATACCGATTGACCAATCAAGCTCATCATTGCCAGCGGAAGTTTCATTCCAGATATAAAAGCGAAGAAAGATATTTATGATTTGAATTTGAGTAGTCATTGTTTTTTAGAGGCGTCGATGTTGTTCCTCGACTCTTTTTAAAATTGGCTTCAACAATAATCCACGGCCAGTTGCTTTTGCAGGCTACGTTTCCTGTTTGTCAGACGTCTATAGAATGAGGAGCTACCTCGTGAATATATATATATATATATATATATATATATATATATATATATATATATATATATATATATATATATGTAGTGGCAACGTGAATATTGTATGGCGCATTGCAGGTGGGTTATGATGCTGTAATGCAAGGTCGTCTCTAGTTACGTAATCTAATCCAACGATATAGGATAGAGATTAACAGTATGTAGTACATAAGAGAGAAGGAGAAAATATTTCTCTTCCAAAAGAGAGAGAAAAAAGACCACTTGGGGGAAAGAGAAAGAATGTGTTTGTTTTACAATCCAAAAAATCGACTCCCACATAACACCGAAAATTCCCTGAAAGTTGAAATTAACTTAACTGCAATTAACTGAATCTTTAGTCTTGAAGCTCATGAAACTCATGAAACTTAAAATAAATCTTTCAATATTGGAAAACTGCGGACATTTAAAGATTTTTTTATTTCAAGTTTGATGAGTTTCGGAACTAAAGATTTAGAAGGTTATGTAGATATCATTCATTATTCTTACTTTCTTTCTTGATTTTTTATCTTTTTTTTTGCTTATTCAAATTTACCTGATTTTTAACTGTCAATACATGGTCTAATTGTTAGCTAATTCTGTTTGAATTAACAATCAGGCATCACAGTTGGTCCCCTTTCCCCTTTTGTCCCCTTATTTCAATTTTATCACCTTTTCCCCCTTCTTTTTTAATGATTTTTTTTTTTTTTTTTTTTTTTTTCAATAAACAAGTTTTTCTTTTTTTTTGAAATCTTTTTCAAAGTGTAATCATGAAATGTAGACTCAATGTTATAGAATTCAGTGCGATCTATTTGTGATTAAAATTATTAACATCACCCCAGGTGCGAATTTGGGTTGGCCGCCAGAGTTTGAAGGTTGGCCTAACTTTGGCAAGCGAAGTTCTGGATGCCAGAGTTTGCCCAACTTTGGCAAGTACTAGTGCCCACAGTTGGCCCGACTTTGCAAGCCAACCATTACATGCAGAGTTTAACCAACCGTCGGGCCAACTTTGGCGACAAAGGTTGGCACAACTCATCCAAACGTAGTTTAAAAGACTTTCAGTTTCGGTTGGCCGAACTCTAGGCCACGGTTGGCCCGACGGTTGGAAAATCTCTGTGAAACGCAGTTTAATTGGCTTACATTTTTTTGGTCGGTCGAACTCTAGGCCACGCTTGTCCCAACGGTTGGCAAAACTCTGTGAAACACAGTTTAATTGACTTATACTTTCTGGGTCGGCCAAACTCTGGCCACGGTTGGCCCGACTGTTGCAGCTTTAATATACATTTAACGTTATACTAGACAGAAGTTATGTCTAGCCAATATCAAATTCAACTTGAATCTTTGACGAAGAGCGTTGGTCAGTAACTTTACAGTTATTTACCAGTCCGACTAGAATCAGCGTCCGTGA